ACTGTGTGCTAAAAATAAATTTTAAAAATTGTTGCAATTAGCTGAGAGAGTGTTAATAAGAGTGCAGCTAATTGCCCTCCTCAGTCTGGTAGTAATTATCAAAGTGATGAAAGATGTTATCAAAGGTGCTATTCAGCTACACTTATTCATCAATAAATTGTTAACCAGTCCTCAACTCAAGTTCTGTCAGGATGACTGTTCCTGACTTTGTTTCAGCTTTACTCCAAACATGAACAGAAAGCTAAATTCCAAAGTACAGGTTAAAGTGAATGCCTTTGCTATTAAGATGTTCACGTGCAACAAGATCTGGGCAATATCCAGACTTGGGCTGACAAGTGGCAAGTAACATTCATGCGACACAAATGCCAGGCTATGACCATCACCAATAAGAGACAATCTAACCACTACCCCTTGACATTCGATGGTGTTACCATCACTTAATCCCCCACTATCAACATCCTGGGGGTTACCATTGACCAGAAACTCAACTGGACTCACCACATTAACAGTGGCTAGAAGAGTAGGCCAGAAGCTGGCAATACTGCGACGAGTAGCTCATCTCCTGACTCCTCAAAGCCTGTCCACCACCTACAAGGCACAAGTCAGGAGTGTGATGGAATACTCCCCACATGCCTGGATGAGTGCAGCTCCAACAACACTCAAGAAGCTGGACACCATCCAGGACAAAACAGCCTGCTTGATTGGCACTACATCCACAAACATCCACCAGCGACGCTCAGTAGCAGCAGTGTGTACCATCTACAAGATGCACTGCAGAAATTCACCAAAGATCCTCAGGCAGCACCTTCCAAACCCTTGACCACTTACATCCAGAAGGACAAGGGCAGCAGATATATGGGAACACCACCACCTTCAAGTTCCCCTCCAAGTCATTCACCATCCCGACTTTGAAATGTATCGCCGTTCCTTCACTGTCACTGGGTCAAAATCCTGGAATTCCTGTCCTAATAGCATTGTGGGTCAACCCACAGCCGGAGGACTGTAGCGGTTCAAGGCAGCTCACCACCGCCTCCTCAAGGGCAACTAGGGATGGGCAAGAAATACCAGCCAGCCAGCGACGCCCACATCCCACAACATGAATAGACAAAAAAAGCAGGCACGGCACCAAGCAACCCTTACAAAACTGAACATAAAGAACACAAGAAATAGAAACGGGAATAGGTCATTCAGCCCCTCAAGCCTACCGTTCAGATGATCCGACATACGACTGTACCAGCTTAGCATAACCGTCAACTCCCTGATACTTCCAAAACCTATCCCAGCTCCTCTTCAAATACCTTCAGTGATTTAACCTCTGCAATTCTAGGGAAGAGAATTCCAGACACTGACTACCCTCTGGGACAATTCTGGTTTCATATGTCCAAGAATCTCTCACTATTACTGTAGGATGCAGAGCTGGGCTGAGATGTGGCAAATGAAGTTTAACCCTGAAAAGTGTGAGGTGATTCATTTTGGAAGGACAAACTTGAAAGCAGAATACAGGGTTAACGGAAAGATTCTTGGCGGTGTGGAGGAGCAGAGGGATCTTGGGGTTCATGTTCACAGTTCCCTGAAAGCTATCCACCTGGGTGGATAGAGTTGTTAAGAAGGCGTATGGCGTGTGAGCTTTCATTAATAGAGGGATTGAGTTCAAGAGCCGTGAAGTTATGCTCCAGCTATACAAAAGCCTGGTTCGGCCATATCTGGAGTATTGTGTCCAGTTCTGGTTGCCTCATTACAGGAAAGATGTGTAATCATTGGAAAAGGTGCAGAGGAGATTTACCAGGATGTTGCCTGGAACGGAGGGAAGGTTTTACGAGGAAAGGTTGAGAACGCTAGGGCTTTTCTCTTTAGAACGACGAAGGATCAGAGGAGTACAAAATGATCAGAGGAGTACAAAATGATCAGAGG